TCTGTAAGTTGGATGGGTAAATTCGAATTAGAAGCGATCAGTGCTATCGGTGTGACCTCGTAGCTCAGCTGGTAGGGCATACGCGTACAAAGCGTAGGGTGTGTATATGTGTGGGTTCGAATCCCACCCAGGCTACTGAACTCTTCACAACCGACATACAAACTTCAAATCTGCCAAACACCAATTTGAACAATAATGCATGTATCTCAGACGAGTCAAATGTTGGCCCAGTGCCATCATCGCTTGACTTTTTTCCTTCCGAATCTCCCATATGGCGAATCGTTCCACAACTGATTCCCTTCCGTGGTGATTCTCTACCAACATTTAAGGAGCATCGGATTCGGAACCTATCCTCCTCCTGTGCCGGCCCGAAAATCACACGATCGAGCGGTCGGATAGTCACCGCAACAAGAGATCTGGTGCTTGCCCACCTAACCCGATCGAAAAACCAAACCGTGTCTACAACCGCGAGTCTGGCACACTCAGTGAACTACGGCTGTACAGCAGGCGTGCCTTCACCACACGGATGGACTGGACATGATAACAAGATCACAAAAAGTACAATACAATGTGAAACGAAGGAGTAGTCGGACTATTTTGCTATCCGCATAACAACATGACATTTTAAGTTGATACTCAAACATCTTAAATTGAAAAAGGTATGGCTTATGAATCATGTCATGTCATCACGTGTTGAACTTAGTCCGACCAACAACGGTCATGATGAAAGCATCAATCGGTTGGAACATACATTGGTAACAACAAAAGCGAACGAACAAATAAACGTCTACAGACACAAATGATACTTGTTTTTCACTAGAAAATCATGAATAAATTGCACAGCGAACACTCAGTTTGAATATGGAAAAGAAGTCAATGTTCTGAGTATACCCCGAACAGATATTTCTCTCGTTTGAGATGTTATTTCTTTCTCACTGAATCCGAACTGGTTCACCTTTGTTTTCCTTGAATGGGTTAACACTGATGTGATTATTACAGCTAAAACAGCCGTATATGATGGTGAAAGTCAAATAATCAATTCTGTGGTTAGACTAATATTGCAACGGAATGGAGGAATATCTGCAATTAATATGGGTAGCTGGGTCAGAAAAAAATTCCCTGAAGAAAGGTAAGTAGTTTTGGGATAACTAGACACTTAGAATTGAAAAAGGACTAAATACCGCAAGCAATGTACCAATGTTAAGCTGAGGGCGTCATAGAAGGATTAAGTTTCTTCCATACGTAAATCATAAGCAGGACGGTAGATCTAACTTCCGTTATAACTAATGAATAATTATAAATGTTGGGAATAACTGAGGGGATTAAACTAATTTTCATCGATCCGGTTTATTCTATCATAAAACTGTCAACCGATTTTTATACTACTTATCAGCATCTACTACTGTTTACCGTGCTATGTCGCAGCTCCTGGAATTTACCGGCTTTTTCGAATTCCCGAGGGTCGCGACATAGCAGGAAACTGACTACATACAGTGTAAATGCTGTTGCCTATACGAACGCACAAGTGTTTCACAGGGACCCGTTGCTTCATTTTCCATTAGACCTTAGAGTAGCAGATTTACACCAATCGGTTGTTCACATGCACCAGGCACTGCCTACGGTCTTGGGTCCCCGTGACTAACAGAATGGATTGTTCCAAATTAGCTACTCTTCACTGCTCAAACCATTTGTACAACAGGGTGATGACTGTCGATCGCGTAGCATGGGGGTAAAGGTTTTAAGTCCCGACCCGAATGTGACGGGGACGTCAGCAGTATGCACCGTTAACGAGTCCCAAACGGGATGAAACAGCTGCTCTGTGCTTGTCATCGGTCGACTAAAATCGTTTCATCGCCTATAAACACATTCCAGTATAGGACACCCCCGGAAAAATAATACAGGACGGTGTGTGATTTCCCTTTGCTACTACTGTTCTTCACACATTAGTATGTAATGATTAAATCGGAACCCAATCAGTTTTGATGGATGGATGGATGGATGAATTGTAAACATTGTGTAAGCATAATCAATCGCAGTTCGATTATAACGTTCTATTCTCTCTTTCTCTCTCTTTCATTCAGCATGCGTGTCTTCTAGTAGCTTGTCTGGCACGCACAGATTGCATCACCCTACTCTTATCGTCTCCAGACCGGTACACGTGATTGGCAATTACTCTCTGGGGAAATATGTGGCGTACAAACTTTGTCAACTATAAATTTGGACTTGCACAAACAATGCTGATAGAGAGAGAGAAAATGACGGCATCGTCTAGGCAAGTTCACAAAACCCCATTCAATCTGCGAAAATCGCATTGACTACAGTGAGTGCCGTAGTGTGTGCGAGAATAAAAAGCGGAATAATCACGGCTGGAACACAGGATAGCTTTCATCTCCTAAGAGACGAGTACAATGGGGTTAATTCCACACAGATGCGACATTAAACACTGTGGTTTAGACTCAATATTCCATTGTTACGAAACAATAATACTCTGACGTTCTATTGAATCATGCTGTTTGAGTTATTTTAGTTGCCAGTGCTGAGAAAAATCCGGAACGATTAACCAAAACATTCATTCCATGAAGGAGGAACATATTGTTTTGGTTCACATTACTGTGTGGGTGTTGATTCCCAGCGTCTGTCAATTCTGAATACTGACGAAGGTTAGAACTGTATTGATTGGTTTGTAAGATCAGCTCATATCAACTCGTGTTTGACACATTTTCCCCCTTAAACTATTTTGTGCAGTAGTGCTCCTTGGTTGGGTAATGAAAATTACATTGGTCAATGGGTTTGTGAAAATTGGTGATGTTTAATCTGTCGTTGTTTGCTTGCAACTACTTTCACTCATTCTGACTGTTTGTGGGTCATTTACATTCGTGTGCACGTAATTTTGTGTCACTGTCGACCCATAAGTTCGAGCCTTGCACCAGGGAATGAACAAATCTGATTTGTTCGAGCAAACATCCACCCTCAAGTTAGACTACTGCTGCCGCTTTTCTGTCCAGTTGTGTACTTTAGTTTTCGCACCCTCCCTCCCTCTCTGATTGACCTTTGCTTGTCGTCTCGAGTCGGTTTCCAATTAAAACGAAAGCGCCTACTTCCGTTTTCTCGAATGTAACCGATCAGTAAGCTGCTCTCTACTCTCGGAAAGCTCTGCCCTCTTTCTCACATATTCCATTCGTGACTCAATTCTTGATTGATCACACTGCCTGGTTCAGCGGAAACACTGCAACAGTTTATCAAAACTGATCGTTTGTTTTNTTAAAACAGTGTTACTGCTGCCATTCCTTACGGAATCAGGTTGCTCCCGTTCTACCTGCTACCCGACGAAAGTTCCCAACTGCTAACTATTGCTTGTAAAATCTTCAGGTTTTCCGCCTACACAAGGGATGAAAGTTATTTTCACAATGAATTACGGTTTGTGATTATCGTCAATGGAAGCCCTGGAACTCGCAGGGCCGGACCGAACCGGGCCTCAATGAGAAAATAGATGCTGATGAGCCGGGCGGAAGCGAAGTTATTAGTAAGAATGATATTAATTGTGAGGCCATTACCTACTGGATACTATACAATACACATATATACAAAAGTGGAAACTCTGGTTGGTGTTGGCATGGATTGGGTTATCGAACGCCTAACCCTAGGGTCGCTGTGAGGGAGAATTAAATCGTTCAAACACCACGAAATTCGGTTGACTATGAGCAATCTCGAACCTAGAACATTTGGATCACTGCTTAAAAATGGAAATGATTCTACCCACCTGGACATCACCTTAACCGGATCATTCAGCTTATAATCAGTCCTGAACGCAATGCATCAATTTTGCTACATGAGCATTGCACCATAAAGAACAAAAATGATTTAGATGAATAATTGAGCTTTCCCCGAATATCAAAACGTCAAAATGAAATACCCCAAACAGGAACAATGATATCAGCAGTCAAAGCACCCAACTCACAATTCTGATTCAGTAGCTCCCAATAGGCCATTTGCTCGACATCCTCAGAATTAGGAGGCGGTAGTGGTGGTGGTGGCGACGGTCCATCTGGAAATCCATGTCCCGATCCGGTGCCGTTCATAGGCCGTTTGCGTGGATTGGACGCAGACCCCGCGGGACTGGCACCTGAACCACCACGACGTTGCGCTCCGCGCAGATAGAGAAAGGCAACAAAACAGAATATCCCGAGGAACACACAAATGATCACAATGGCCAGGATGAGAATCACAGTAATGCTTGTATTTTTATGGTATCGATAGGAAGTGTGGGAGCTTGAATCCGCCTTGAGATGATCATCCTTTGGGTCAGCGAAGTCTGCAGTGTCTGAGTTCGATCGCTGTTGTTTCTGTTGTTGTTTGGTCAAACCCATCACGTGACCAGTGGTCAAACTGTCGTGGGTTTGGTTATTGGTATTCGGTCCAGTTACGGAACCGAAGCTGGTGGGCTGATGACGATTCATGAGTGGGCGGTCTGGATACACATGAATACGAAGCCGTGCTGTGGCCGAATGACTCGGCTCTGAATCATTATCTTTAACAATAATATAAATAAAATATTCTTTTGGTGCACTGTACATGGCCTCCGGATTGGTGAGTTGAACGGCTGGAAGCTCAGTTAACGGATTGACTAGAATTAAATCTGCTGAGGCCTCGGAAAACCCGCCGGATTTGATTGAGGTACTTTCGGTAGGTCGTAAGGTGAAATAGTTCGATAGGAATTTGGCGGATCTTAATACAAAATTCAGTTTTGTATTGGCTGGTTGATCCATATCCGTGGCTTGAACACGGTAGATAACCGAACCAGGAGGCATTTTAACCGTGATATTAATCAACTCCGAAGGTATTCCATTATTAGACATAGTGGGAGGTTGAACGAATTGGGGTGGACTATCATTCACATCGTCTAACTGGACAATCACTACTGCACTGGCCGTGAGCTGATGCCCGACTGGACCACCATCCACGGCTCGTACGGTGAGCTGATGTTGTGCGCATTGTTCCCGATCAAGGACACCGTCCACGTAGATTTTTCCCTCATTCGTCACTCGATACGTGACAGGTAATCCGCTAGGTGAAACGGAATCCTCGACCATACTGAAATGTACCGTCTGATTCCGGCCGAAATCTTCATCATGCGTGATCAGCTGACCAATCAGACGTCCGTGAACCGGTCGCTCTCCGTCCGATTCGGTTGTGTGAAACACAATCCGTCCACTCGCTCCTTCGGTGACCACAAAACGTGGGGGATTGTCATTCATGTCCGAGACCAGGATGTTGAGTCGAACAATCGAGGTGAGCGACGGTACTCCATTGTCCATCACTTTCACATAAGCCACATAACTGGCATTGGTCTCTCTGTCCAACGGGACGTGAGTGAACAGCTTGCCAGTTGTCCTTTCCAGTTCGAATAACTCAGTGATTGTCTGACCCACAGGCATGTCCGATAACCCAGTCCAATTCGAGGGATACGGTGGAAGGAGAAAACTGTAAGTGAGCTGAGCATTCGGGCCCTCATCAGGGTCAGTGGCTCGGATAGTACCAATCAGTGTGCCAAACGGTTGATTTTCTGGGACAGTCAAGGTTTGGGTGACGTAGGGTGCCGATCGATCATGATGTTGCAAACTGTAATCGAAAGGTGTGATTTTTGGAGGGTTGTCATTGATATCCAAAATGTGTACATAGATCAATTTGCGTGTCTCATGACCGCGAATTGCTCCATTGTCTGTGCATAACACACTGAGCACGATAGAAGCTGTTTTTTCCCGATCCACTTTGAGACCTTCACGTTTGTATAGTGTAAACATGGATATCGCTTGTTTGATTGCACCTAAACCAGGTGTTAGCGAAACCAGACTACCACCATCTAGGGGAATTAGATCAAAATAGGACGCTTGTGTCGGAGCTAGTTTGTGATGTTCCAACCGACATGTGACTCGTCCGGCATCCATTTTGTCTCGATCCTGTGCCATGATTGTAGCCAAATCGACACGAGGTTTGTACTCTTCCTCTAACCACAAAACAGCATCTGTCGGAAACAACGTTGCGGGCAGGGTGACGGGAGATGCACCTGGAAATGGAGCTTTTGTTCGATTTCGATTTTGTCCCAGTTTTGGCGGATTCAATGGAATCACGGTGATTGTCGGGGCGTGATCGTTACAATCATTCACAGTGACTTCGATTTCTGTGTAATTGACCAAACCACCCCCGTCCACAACCTCGACAGGAATGAAAAAATGTGGCAAAGTTTCATGATCGAGCTTTGAAGTCAGGAATACTTTATTCTCTTTAATGAGTAAATTAGGCAACTGAACACGACTAGATGCACGTAACCGATCCGAATTGGCTTGTTGTCCCAGGCGAAATGTGCACTGTCCGTTTGAGCCCAAATCCGGGTCGTCTGCATGCAATGTGATCACGTGACGCAGTGTGGGATCAGCAACATTACTGGATGCCAAATAGGTACCAATTATTCGATGCCCTTCCAAACCCACACCATTGGTGCCGTATTCCGTGCTCGGGTCACATTCGGACAAAGTGACCTTGTAAGGTAATCCACGCCATTGCGGCACATTGTCATTCGCATCCATCAGTTCAATACGAACAAACAAATAACCTTGATTTCCACCTCCATCCTGTGCGACTAGACACAGGTACAAATTGCTTGTATGCTCACGATCCAGTTGCCGAATCTGTTTTAGCTGAGGCTGTAAACGTCCATTTAGAAGACGCTGTGCATGCAGCACAAAATAGTCCCCGGCGAACGGATATTCGATCAGTTTGTTTGGTTGAATTTTTCCCTCGGGATTCAAGTTGGCCTCGATCGACGAAGTCACATGACAGACGGATGACTCACCGGGGATATTTTCATGACCCAACTGTAATCGGTCGATTTTGTATACAGTGATTCCGTGCATACCGGAGTCGGGGTCATGAGCAAGCGGAAGACGAAATTCCGCGTCTATGGGAGAACTTTCTAAAATTTGTAGCACGTAAACTTCTGAAGGAAAAGTGGGCTTGTTGTCATTCACATCGGCTATCATAATTTGCACATCTTGTAATATACTGTCCGAAGTACCGTCAGCCATTGTCAGTCCAACATGGACTTGAAATTTGACACGGCATGTGATGGACGCTGTTTGATGGGAACCGCTAAATATATCCGCAGCACGTTGGGATCGTAGTTGGTCAGATTTATAACTCGGACTAGACTCATTGCCCATGGAAATATTCCTTTGTTTTGGTATAAATCCACTCTTTTGTCTGTCCGTCGAAGGTCCACGGGTTCCGGGTACACGGGCTCGACGAATCACATAATCATTCCCGGGATCCGATCGATCCGGTACTCGATCGTCACACAACGCTTCACGATCAATGCGTTCAGCCGCATACACAGTCCCATCCGTGGCATCCACTCGAAAATACTGCGCAACAACATCTTGCGCCAGATTGGTGTAGACCACGGATCGTAATTCCATACTGTCACGACCGTAGGTTGAAGACAATTGTCCGACCATGCTACCTTTGGCCAAATTTTCTTCAATCCAAAAAATGCCAGTCTGCACGGTGGCTGTACAGAGCCTTAAACCATAAAGCCAAGAACCTAGAAGCAGAGTGCACATCAATATGGACCAATCCAATCGGTAGATCGCACTGGCATAACCGCGAGTACACATATCCTTCAAAATCCTGTTCATGGACGGATGATGTGAATCAACAGGATAGAGAAGTATCCCCCGAGCGGACGAATGAACCGGATCGAACGAGGAGCAGAGTGCTCGTTCTATCGAAGGCCACTGTGTGCGCCCCGCAGCCAATACTTCACTGCAGTCCGAAAT